ATTAAACTCGAAAAAAATCGCCGCGTCGCTCGCAAACTGAAGAACCTTAACTTAATTTTCCCGCCACGAAAAAAAAGCACTCGACCCAGGCTCCCTTCCACGGTCGCGTACTTCAAGGCGTCCGCGTCAAAAAAACTTAAAGTCCCTATTATCTTAAAGCATGACGACCAACGTCTTGTCCAAGAAAAAAAAAATTTATTGATCGATGGAGATGTTACGCGCTGTGGTGGTTAACATTAACTGTTGTTATAGTGTAATCTTCAGTTCTCATCCTTGATCGCAGTTTACCCTCAAGCGTCGCTCCAAAACCTGTGTAACTCAGGGATGCTCAATTTTACTCGCGTAGAATGTCATGAGACTAGGTCGATCCCCCTTCAATCAAGGAACACCAATCAGGTTCAACAGTCTAGATCACATTTAGTACGAGTTGCGTCCGTTTCAAGCGCCGATCCTTTTTATGAGCCAGAGTCATATTCGAATATAAAAAAAACCAAATGAACACAAGGACACATTTTGGTCCGGACGTCGAATGTACGTCTAAAAAAAAACCAGGAGTTTCAGTGATTAAAGGAAACATTGGTTACCGACTTCAATTTTTTAAAAAAAAATTTCGGTACTTAAGAAGTTAGGCGTCTGAATCAGGGACGTAAAAAGAGATATTTCAAAGTCGAAATGCCTTGCCGAGTAAGTCTGAGAAAACGGCTAGGCCGTTCGAAATGAAAATAGCCGTTCTTAATTGATTCAGAAAAAAAACAAAAAACGAATTTACACGTGAAATTTCAGTTGTAAGATTTGGCTCATAAAATCTCTGGCGTTTGAACCGGACCTTATATGGAAGTGTTTACAATCTTTTCTTACAGCTCGGCGAAACTAGTCCCTTGTGAATTATTCATTTATTTTTAAAAATAAGCTGCGTTGTGATTCAAATGGTGAAAAGTAATCTGGTAGAATATCCCAAATAGCTCTAGTCTCCTTCGTAGCCGTTCGCAAGATGTCAAACAACGTTACCTGGCAAAAAAAAAACGGCTACAATGGAGGCTCATGTCAACAGTGCATGGCTTCTTTTTACAGTTTATCTTAAGCTTTCAGCGTCAAAATCTAGATTTGGACTCCGGTCCCGGTTAATCGTCTAAAAAAACGAGGGGAGTCAAGGTGTAACACCTCGCGAGAATTCAGTACAATGTTTGTGTCAATTATTTGTCAGAACAGCTCCTCGAGGTCCTAAGAACATTTTCGACCACTGTTTCTCTGAGTAGCCAATTTCTACCCAACAAAGTGGTTTATATATTTTGCAGAATCCTTGCACCAAAATACTAAAAATTCTCTGAATACAGTACATCATGGACTTTTCATCTTCCATTCTCCACACATTTAAAAGATCGTTCGGCGTGTCTACGTAAAATGACAGTTTTCCTTGCTCCGATGTTTCGTGATTCAACTCATGCCACGCCATCGCATAACGGCTCACTTAAGCCGGTCTGAGCACCGTCTACTCCATTTACATTTCCGACGACTCCGTCGTCTTTTGCGAACACTGAAGCCAACGGAAACACAGTCCTGCATTTGAGGAAATACTCCCTCGTCAAATCAGTGCACTCGCCGAACGTACCCTCTAAAAGTGCGTTGTAAATCATTGTGCAGGTCTGTAAGACACCAAAAACAACAACAATGTTAAGCGATATTTCAACACATCAAATCCCTGTGGACCAAGGTATTGTTAGAAAAAAATTACCTGGAGGTGGGGGACCCAAGGTAGGAGAGGTAATGTGCCTAGCCGTGGAAAAAAAATTGCCCGCGCGATTCCAGGGTGACGTTTCTGAAGGTTGTTGGCACGCTGGCAAAAAAAAAATGAACGCGACCCCGGCTAGGCGGGTTACCCCATCTTGAGACGTTTACATAAAAAAACGCGACTCCAGCTGACAGGGCTACCCTTCCCGGCAGACTGGGAAACCCGCCCAAAAAAATTACTCCACCTATCATGTAAACGTGATCATGACAAAAATAAGAGTTTGTATGGACAGTCGGGTTAACTCAAGTAGGCGGGTTACCTCACCTACCTAGGGTCCCACACCTCCATGTAAACAGGCCCTTAGTTCCCTTTTGTCTTACGGTTTGTTTGTGTTCTAAAAGCGAGGGAGCTCGCTAGACTAGCCTTTCATTACCTCTAATGTCCTGTCTTCTAGACTATCGGATAAGTCTGTAACCAGCGCCAGCGCATCGTCTACTTTTGAAGCATCCAAAAGACATAGCATAAAAAAACCTAGAAAAAACAAACAAAAAAAAAATGTCAGTACTTTCAAGATAATGAATAAAAAAAATTGGATAGCACGATAACAAACAATTCAACGGCTAAAAGAAATTTAGAAATAATGAAACATGCACACAGCCCCACCCACATCAACCAAATAAATTAAACGCCTGCGAGAAGGCTCATTCTTTCAGTCGTGAGGGCCTGTTTTTAGTGGGAGAGTGAGGCGTCACTTCATCCAAAAAAAGCTGAGAGTGATTATCATCTTATTTCTCCTTAAAAGATCACCCTTGAATCAAAAAAAAAGGTCACAAGAATAAAGGAAAAATTACCAACTTAAGAAGCTCTTGACTGTTAAAAAAAAAGAAAATAAGAGGAAGAATAGGCATACTGATGTTGGGGCGGGTTCTTCATGGAAAAAAAAAGCTTATTTTTATTATTCACCTGAAAATCTGTGAAGCAAGGAATGAGAGTGTTTTTCCAAGAAATCAGCATTAAATTGTTTGATATCGTTTCCGTTAAGAAGAGTTTTGAGTTCTCGTTCTATTACAATTGCCACGGGCTCCTTCATGTGCTTCGACTCAGACACTGAAAAATAGAAAAACAGTACATTACATGTATTACTAAAATATGATGCGTAAAAGTCTACAAAAAAAAAAAGTGCTCATGAATAAAAAATTTCAGAATCTCGTGATTCGCCATTTTCTCGTTGCCGTCGCCGTTTTTATTTGCGTATAGTTCCTCTTATTACGAGACTCAACGTAAAGCGTGCTGTCCATTGAAACATTTATAAAATTCGGAGCAGTGCAGTGGCCCTTCCAAGTTAGTATTCCCTTTTTGCTCTGGTTTGGTGGACTAACTCTCATGTACAGATCCCATAAAACGGAGCTAATGTCGATGAACGTAACACTCACCTTTAACAGCGAGCTTTACTAAGTGTTCATGGAGAAAAAAATGGTTTGCATCTATGGCGTGCGCACGTTTAACAGATTGTAACATCAGCAGAAGTTTGCCTGCAATGTAAGATTGTCATGTTTGCATAAAAAAATAAAACAAACCATGACAAAAACAAAAATAATAAACTGGCTATCGAGGACTGCAACTCTACAACAAAGTAGGGTCCCTAAAAAAATACAAAAACTTTCCACAATGCAAGAGCACTATCATTTATGATAAGTTGTAAGAAAAAAACCAACAGATAGATAACGAATGGTCCTTTAAAGTTTAAACTAAGAAGGCGGACTAAAATCTGAGAAGGACAAGAGGTACCGCTTCCAGTCTGTTCATAAACTGTATAAATGTAAACTTAATACGTACCTTTTCTGCTGAATACTTCATATGCCAACAGATGGGTTTCTATTCTACTTGACGCCAGATTCTGTAATGGTCGGAGGAATTTGAGTGCTTGATCTAATGGATCAAAAAAATGACAAGAGGAGGGCACACTGTCATGAGAACACAAATGAGGAAGCATATTGGGTACAGTTGTTTCTCATTTTCATTATTTACCCTGACTAATGCGTCTGATTCAAACGGAGGTTCTTTTAAGGGATCGGCTTTCTTATCACTGTCTTTACTTTCTTTTACGTCATTAGTAAAAAAAAGAAAAAGGAAAAAAAAAAATTAAGTTTAAGACTAAGGTAAAGACGAAGAAGAAAAAAAAAACATGTCTATGTATCGGTCACTATTATTCCTATGCCAAGAACACTGTCATAAAAAAAAAGAATGGAGAAGTTCTAAAAGGGCACCTAATCTCCAACATGCACACCATTAATTCAACATCAGCACCACCATAATCCTTCAGGATGTGTTGCACCACACATCCCCAGCCTTAAAAAAATTATATTAACGCAGTGCAGGGTTCGTACACTTTTCACCTGTCAAAATTCCAAAAAAAAACATGACTTTTTCCATGACCTTTTGAAAGATTCCCTAACCTGTTTGCAAACATTCTCACAATGCGTGCTTCTGTTTATTTCTAATGAAATTAAATATGATTTTCGGACTCGTCAGTTAACTTTTCAACTTTGGGTCTTACTGCCTTTCACTCATAGAGAGCATATTGATTTTCCATGACTTTCCATGTCCCACACCTAAATTTCATGACTTTCCAGGCCTGGAAATGAAAAAAAAAAATTCCATGACTTTGCAGGTTTTCCATGACCTGTAGGAACCCTGTGGAGTGCTAAAAAAATCCAGGAAGGGACTGTTGTAAAAACCACTACCATCCTTACCCTGCTGATACTGTAAGGGATCATGGCTGAAGGACACTGGGGCGAGTGGAGGGTGCAATGTACAGTACTGGCAACAGGAATAGCAGCACCTACACGCGCGTAAAATACGTGCAAGATCGCGGACTTCGCGAAAAAAACGCGCGCGTAAAATTTTACACGAACTATTACACGCACCTTAAGGTGGCTAGTAAAAAAATCCTCGCGCGTGGAACAGGTTACTCTTGCGTCACGCGCGAAAGAAACGTACGAAAGAAGCGCGAGATTAATTACACGTAATCAGCGTGTAATTTGACTCAATTAAAAATTGAAAAAAACACTACACGCAGCTTGCGTGGGTTTTCCACTTAGCACTGTACATGAATCTTCACAATGGAAGTTAGACTCTCAGAGTCCGCAATTCAATGTTTGAGAAATTCAGTCTCATGTGAATATAATGGCTCCTAGCAAATGGAATCTTACCCTTCTTGCTTTCCTGGGCTTTTTTCTCTGCTCTTCTTTGTTTACTACGTAGTTTCTTCAAATCTTTAGCTGACAGCTCGCTGGACCCTGCTTCAGCATCTTCGTCGTTTGCAGTCATAGGCTTGTCATGGAGCCGAACATAACACTTAAAAGAAGAGAAAGATGAAAATCTACATGTAAGTTCAAAGCGATCACACAGACAAAAAAAAATTGTTAAAAACAAAATGGAAACTGACACATGAGGTCAGCTTTGGGAAAACAAAAAAAATATCATTCCTATTTTACTGACATGTACCAGTATGTATACAACATAATACCTAAAAAAAAAATTCATGTTGAAGACATGAACTGCTACTTTGGCCAATTTTATCCCTGTTGCAAAAAAAGGAGAAACATGCATTAAGACTGTACCTCTATTGCCATTTTAGCAGCTTTGAAATAAAATCTGTGGCTTCGAAGAACGTCCTCAAGTCGCAGCAGTCTGAAAGGAAACCAACATCATTTCATTTCCTTTTGGACCTTTGCTATATTGATTCAAAGACAAACTCATGTTATTATCTTGTATCACAAGTCCAAGCCAATCTGTGATGGAAGAAACTTGGACAACAAACACTCCCTCCTTTTTGCAAAGCCTGTCACAGAAACATCAATTCTTTTTTTCTGCTGATTTTTTCAAAAAAATTGTGATTGACTTTGCTGGATAGTGCAATAGTATTACAAAGTCACATATCTAAAAAAAATCAATTTGTGCAGCATTACCACATTGTGGCCACAATATAAGTCCACCCCAGGTTTGGTTAACAAACACCATTAAGCAGCACCTGTTATAATTTATTAGCTGGGGATAATAATGGTTAACAGCATCTGCAAAAAGTGCCTAAATGGACCCATTCACTGGGTAGCCATGGTTACCCAATGCAATCAGATACTATTGCTGGCTGACCAATCTCAAAGGCACCTTCCCTTCCCCAAGCTCCTCTCTTCTTAAATTAACCCAGAGTAACCACCTCTTACTATTGGATACCTCCTGTAAGCTTTGTATTCTAGAAGGCCATAGCCTTACCTCACATAAGCTCTAAGAGTCATTTTTCTCATACAGTAGGTATGAAAATCAAACTGATCTTCTGTTATTTCATCAAAATGTCTCTCAATCTCATGGGCCTTCTTCAGAGCTTCTCCCAGCTTGCCCTGTCTTTGCAGAGCATAACCACTCTCAGTTTGGAACCACATACACTGCATTTCATTCAGGTTTTCGGCAGCACCAACTCCTTCCTGTGATCAAATGAGAATGTGGCCACAGGATTACCAGGATGGTGGTTAAAACATGAGCGTAACACAATGCATGCAGCCTACAGTAGGCCTAGCCCTGACATGTCTGTTCATTTGTTTCAAAAATTTTCCTTTTGAAACAAAACAGGTTGCTGAACGAACAAGCACTGAGAAAAAAATATTTGGTTTTTTAGTTGATGAAAATTTGTTACTACAATGCAAGTGAGAATTTACCACATTGATCAGTATCTTTGAACTTGAGTGCTTGTTCTACCGTGCACAGACAGTGAATTACCCAATTGAGTAATTCAGTCAACAACCTGTTCACAAAGAGACACGCCCCTGTAGTAAAAAAACTGCTAGTAGAATCACATTATCAGCCCTGCAATATGTGCATTTCTTTGCCTCAAAAAAAATTCAACTCTTTAACTCCCAGAAGTGATTGACAACAATATGGTACACTGTATAAAAAAATTAGTCAGCAAACAGGTGATGGGAATACTCAACCTTATCTGGTAGAAGTTTTAAAAAAAATCTAACACTAAATTCTTGTGACTAATTTACAAGGCAATGCATAGCAGCTTAAAAAAAAAATTACCGATCAGATCTTGAGATTTATAAAACAGGGTTCGTACACTTTTTCAAAAAAAAGATTCAAGGACTTTTCAAGGACTTTCCAAGACCCTATTTTCAAGGACTTTTTAAAAAAACAATTTTACCTTAAAACCAAGTTAATGTTTCTCTTAACATCTATGTTTTGGGTTTACTGATGGTGCAAAACAAAAGCAGATATTTTTCGATGTTGTTCAATAAAAAATCAAAAAAAAACAAGGAAACAAAATGAAATTCAAGTACTTTCAAGGCCTTGAAATCGGCCTCCAAAAAAACAAGGGTTTTCAAGATGCGTACGAACCCTGATAAAAGGATTAAGATGAGTCAAAAAAAATTTTTCCAGTGGTTTTGCTCTAAGCACTAGAGTCCACACACACTTCTCACTGAAAAAAAACACACTTTTCTGAAGGCAAAGATATGCTTGTACTGATGCATTAAAATTGATAAAAAAATTTAAGGCTACTGTACATGCATGTCTGGATATGCTTGTACTGACGCATTAAAAAAAAAAACCTACTTGAAGGCTACTGTACATGCATGTCTGGATATGCTTGTACTGACGCAAAAAAATTGATGACCTACTTGAAGGCTACTGTACATGCATGTCTGGATATGCTTGTACAAAAAAATTAAAATTGATGACCTACTTGAAGGCTACTGTACATGGATGTCTGGATATGCAAAAAAAGATGCATTAAAATTGATTACCTACTTGAAGGCTACTGTACATGCATGTCTGGAAAAAAAACTGTCATCAACCCCATTTCCTGTATAGTCTTCAACATAAATCATGACCAGTAAAAAAATATCAAGAAATCAACTCTTCTCAAAGGACTTTTCAGTGGGAAAGCTCAGACACTCACCCTAGTGAACAATCCACATGTTTCCTCAGCTTTTTGAACCTGATTGGCTCGTAGTTGGTACTTGGCACATTTACAATTGACATATCTGTCAGCAGTGTCAAGAGATCTTGCTTCATCCATACAATGTGCAGCCTTCTCCATGTCTCCCCCATGCTAAGAAATAAAGTTTGCAAAGCATAATAAAAGGATGAAGTACAGCTGTACATCCAACCACAGCAAGGAGAGAAGCAGGCAATGAGTGGAATTGCATTTTTATAAACAATCATATTAATACCAGTAAACCCTAATGTTCATGGGTTGGTAGCCCAGTGAAAAAGAGGTCGCCCTTACAACCGACCTATGGCCCCACCTTAAGGCAACTGTCAACACAACATTGGTAAACCTGTGATTGGAATGAATGAATATTAAAAAAAAACCAGAAGTCTGAGTAGAGGGGGGGGGAAGATAAGGGAGACAAGGCAAGAAAAAAAAAAAAACAAACTGAGCTAAAGTACATGATCACTGACTCTGTGAACCTCCCTGACAAAAAAAAAATTGAACAAATGCATTGCTTCTCTACATGTACCTTTCCTTCAACCTTGCCTACATACATGTAACACACAAGCATAACATACTGTACACTGTACACCATAAATGCTACCACATCAGCAACTTAGAGAAAGAAAAAATTATCATTAGCGAGACACCTTCTAAAGAAAATATTAAAAAAAACCTTATAAATCCTGGCTTTGACCATATATGCCTCAATAAGGGTAGGAGTATGCTCAAGAGCTTTGTCAATGTACTCCATGGCCTTCTTGCTGTCCCGTAGATAATCAAAATGCTGGGCAAGGAAGTGGTACACCCAAAGGATTGCTGTGGGAGGCTCAAGATCACCACCTGGATAACAAATGGAACCATGAAGTACACTGTCAGTGGTTTGTCTTGAAAATTGAATTGCGATACTCAAAGCTCAATCCTCAAAGAATGAAATCAAACCTTGACTGTAAAACCTGGAAAATTGATTCTCAAAAGTTTTTAAACCCAAGAATTGAGTTTCCAGTTAAGACTGTCAGCTAAAAAAAGAGTGGTACTATGAATTATGAGAGGCTTTTAATATCTCTCAGGGCTCAAAATAAAAAAAAACCCATTAACCAATGGTTAGTAATTTTCAACCTTTGGTTACTAAAAATGTGTCCAACTAACCCACGTGGACACGCCTCTCAGAGGAATACTTAGAATACTCAAGTTGTTCAATCAACTTAAACTCTTTTTAGAGAATGTGCTGTAGATGTACTGTTCGTGACTAATCATGGTAAACGAGAGGAAAATAAAATAGGTGCATAATTGTCAATGTTTCCAAGGTCACCTTGTAATTTCAGCCACCCTTTAATTTGTCCTAGTCATTATTGTCAAAATGTTTAATATTTGAGATATCATAACCTGTGAGCTTGGATACCAAACTTGATAATTTGGTTAGTAAAAAAGATGTCTACTAACCAGAAGGGTTAGTGATCCATAAATTAAATTCAAGCTCTGTCTCTATCTCAATAAAAATATAACTTAAAGGAACTTGCCTTTCCCTGTTAACGTTTTAAATGTAATGAGATTGTCCAGATACCCAAGGGCCACATTTTCAACAATCTTCACCTGTGGGGAATAGTGGAAGACTTGTTATTACATGCTTACCTGCATTATTAAAATAAGTCAATCATATTTTCTGACTTTAAAAGCACACAGCCCACAATTCCTCTATTCACTCCGATGAAGGGCTAACACTCGAAACAAAAAAATTTGTAATTGTTACGGTGGCCAATTTACCATTTCAACTTTGTTGAAATATCTCAATTATTTTGTTACCCCCACCGACGCAGCCCCAAACAGTTTCTTTAGAAACTATCAGCCTTTAACCCATTGACTCCTGAACCGCCCGTAACCGCCTGAACCTCGCGATNGTCCACCCAATAAATCCCACCCATCCCACCCCAGGGGAGGACATCCATCACACAGTAATCTTGTGTGTGGGGAATTAATGTCTCCTACCCCTAACCCTGTAGGAGATGGGACCTCCATTTGTTCGTCCCTATCCAAGAAGACTAGAATATCTAACCATTTCTTGATGTCATAGAAAGGTAGCGTTATTCTTCTCAATTACTTTAAGACCTTGAGTGTTGGTCCGGCCGGGGCTTGAACCCTCGACCTCCTGCACAACAGTCCAGCGCTCTATCGATTGAGCTAACCGGTAGGTGGCTAGCTTTAACAGTCTGTTACAGGGTTCGTACACTTTTGACCTGTTAAAATTCCATGACTTTCATGACCTTTTGAAAGATTACATGACCTGTTTACAAACATTCTCACAGTGTGTGCTTCTGTTTATTTCTAATGAAATTAAATCTGATTTTTGGACTTGTGAGCTAACTTTTCAACTTTGGGTCTTATTGCCTTTCACTCATAGAGAGCATATCGATTTTCCATGACTTTCTATGACCCTCACCTAAATTTCATGACTTTCCAGGCCTGGAAAATGAAATTTTGAAATTCCATGACTTTCCAGGTTTTCCATGACCTGTACGAACCCTGTGTTATATTCTGTTTGCTTCTGACAGTCTGTTATAGACTAAGAAACTTTTTTCCTAACATTAAGAAATTTTTCATTTTTCTCAAAGTGCATATACCTTGTCCTTTTCAGTGTATAAAGTCCTAATGTTGTTAAACAAAGGTGGCACTCCCTTGTGAATCGCTGGTCGCATGTAGTTGTCAATTAATCGAGCAAAAGTTTCTCCTACAAAGAAAAAAAAAAGAAAACTAAGGTTAATTCTAACACACCACTGGTACATCAAGCTATCGTAATGTCAGGGTGGCTGCCTCAAACTGACCTTGATTGCCAACTTAACTAAATAAGATATGATCATAATCTGCATTGTAAAATTCAAAATTTCACAATTGGTAAGGTTACCAGACAACATTACCAACAACAACAAGACAGTACACCTTGAAATCTATGAAGTGGGTGGGAATGGGTTAATAATGGTAGATGCAACAAAATCAACTGCCTACCAAAAGTCACATTGCCCATATCCAGGCATCATTAATGAGTGAGAAAAACAATGTCCATTTATTTTCTTTACCTTGGCCAGAAGATATAACTTTAACACTACTCAACTGAGAAGATGTTAAATATAGGCCTCATAATTTTTGAGATGACACATGTACACCTGTGCTCGAATCATGTACCTGATGTAAAAGAAAGGGGGATTCTCTTTGGAGCCTGTGCTCTTGGATATGACTCAGAGTACTTCATGTACAGGTTGTATCGGTCATCTGGGTTCTCTAAACATAAAAAAAAAAAAAAAAACTCACAACACTTCCACATCTTGTTACTCCCCCTTCCACTTCAAAAATAGTGAAAGCAACAACAACGACAACAACTGTGATAATAATAATTTATATCTGTATCAATGCAAGTGGTTTTGATCAAGTCAGTTAGATTACTGTAATAGCACCCTTTGCAAATCTTACAAAAATATTACAGATGGTTTGAAACCCCCAAAAAACCTCAAAAAAACCTCAAGAAAATTTATGAAAAGAGAAACAAAATAAACAAAAACCAAAACAGACTACCTGATTCTCCATAAAAATCTGTACTTACCTAACTGCATGGCTTTTTCCAGTTCTTGGTAATAATGCTTATTCTCTGGATTTCTCCTTAGTAAGTCCTTGTAAATTCTCTCTGCTTCCCTGAACTGCTTTAATTCAAGGAACAGAGACCCTGGAATTATGCAACAATGGAGAAAATGAAGCTTTCAGGAAGCTATCACTGGATGCCCTGTAATACACGTAACTTCTCAACTTACTAAAGAAATGCTCCACATCAAGTTAATCAAGGCTTTCAAGACTCATATCAGAGTCTACAACTTACATGTATTTCTACATACTGGTAGTACTTAAGTACTGAAAAACTGTTGGCACTAGTTAAAATATCACTAGTAGTACTAACAAAATAACAAGATATTTTTGACAATAATTATTGTGTAAGGCATACAAACTCAGAGAAATAGTTACTTAAGAGTAACACATAAATAAATTTAAAAGAATATTAATAAAATTCAGAAGTAAATTCACTGCAAAAATGTAAAAAGTCATTTACACTTACTTTTCAACAACCTGATGGTCGCATACAAGTTAGGAAAGTTAGGTAGGCACTGTACCTTTTATTTCTCGCACCACAAGTTTATCGTGCATCAGTGATTCATGTGCTGTCAACTGATCCAAAGCCTTCTGAGGTCTTCCAGCCTCTCTGAGCACCATGTTTTGATATAAAAGCAGCTCTCCATGCTCAATGTCAAACTTTGGGGAGGAAATCTAATGTAAATGCATATATCATTAACCCCTTTACACACCCTGATATGAGTATGCATATTCTCTACACAGTTCAGTCTACATTTTCTGAGGTACTGACAGGGAGAATTTGATTAACGATCAAAAGCTCATTTAGTTGGTGATCATTTTCTTAACTGTAATGCAGTAAATGGTTTGAACCCGAGGGTAACATGTGAAAGTGCGGTGTGATCCTCCAGGCGAGCGTAGTCCTGAGAAGGACTGTTGTCGGTGGTGGTGACTGACGACCGACTTACACCACTTGAGTCTTACCGCCAATAGCATCATGGCAAAACTGACCAATCATTTTACACAAACTGGACTAAGAACATGCTACTGACTACAACTATTCCCTTGACTCTGATGATGACTTCCCTAAAGGTTGACGCAACGTCAGTCACCACCACCAACAACAGTCCTTCTCAGGACTACACTCACCCAGACAATCACACTACACTT